CGCTTTAATCCTATTAAATCGTCTTTTATATTATAAGAAGCTGTCCAATATAAGGGCGGCCCACTAATATTAGCGGTTTCAAATATGTATGTACCAAGTATGTTACTTGATTCAAATCTCCACCACTATAAATAAAGAAATTAGTAAATTAAGAAGTAAATTTAAAAAAATATTCGAATAATTGTTTATTCGATAACACCAGAACGCAAATATGCTATCAGTAAAATGTTAATGAAAAACGACTCTGTGTTACTTTTTTTTATTCAAAAACATCTTAATACTGGTACTTAAATAAAATAGAAAGTATCTATACGAGATTCTGACCAGCTAGGAATGGTTTGGTGACGCCAATGATGACCATTGCAGGAATTTAGCCTTTAAATATCTAATATAAATCTTTCTCGGATCGTTCGGGTATCTTATGAGGATTACCCCACGCAAAGAAAAATTGTTATAATCTATACTTCTATACTAATATTACAAAGAGGAAAGATTTGTTTGTTTGTTTATATTGAAAAAGTGTCGGCACAGCATATGTCTAACTATTATAGTTATGCCGCAATAAGTGTTATTTAAAAAAAAATAAAACAACGCCAAATATCGTTGAAATTTTTGTTAAAGACCCGAGCCCGGCTAGTTTAACTATAACTATAAATTATTCCAAAAATGAAAACTATATTGAGAATGCGTCACAATAGTTTAAAAGTTTCAAATTTTTAATTTAACTGCAAATTTTTTTACATCTTTTTATGAGTCTATTTAATGTCCTGAAAGTGAACTTGTATAAGTTGTTCTGTGTTGCTAGTGGTGAACATTTGAACGGCTCTTGGTAATTGTCCTTTAATTATTACTTAGTACAAACTCATGAAATTTTTTCCTTAGGTATATAGAACCATGCGATTTGTTAGATCGCTACCTACCACTGGTTGTGTCTAATGTGAAATAAATGTTTTTTTTTTTATGTAAAATAAAATTTATTACACGAGTGAGACTTTTACTTATAATTTATTGCATTGATGAATTACAAAAACTGAAGTCATGAAAAATTTCGATTTCTGAATTTTATTGTGTGTACAGTATTCAAATCGGCTCATCACACCTCTGTGTGCTTATTGCGAGTTTTTTAACGTTCTCGATAACGTAAAAGTTAACCCGAATTTGTATGCAGTTGGAACAGCGCCCCTAGCGGCAAACGTTCGAACTGCATACAAATTTGAGTTAACTTTTACGCTATAGAGAACGTTTATAAAGCTCGCACTAAGCACACTGGTGCTGAGAGGTTCACGGAGCTAGTAAAGAGGAACGTATAGGCTGCCACCCACTTTGGGACATGAGGTCGAAATCTCGATTGTGTTGGATAATGGCCTCCTTATTGAACTAGATCCGTCAATCTAGAGCAGGACTCTCCAGAATTACGGCCAAAAAAATTCGGCACAAACTGGTGAGACATATGAAGAAAATGCTATAAGTCTTTTTATTATTATTATATTATGCAAACGGGCCATCTGATAGTAAATATTACCGTCACTTATAAACATTAGCAAAGCAAAGGACACAGCCAAGCCGGTATCTGTCTCCAAGGAACAAAAAAATCAGGAGTAATCCTATATTCACTTTCTAGTTTTATTGAAAATTAAACTTTAACAAACAAATACATATGGATTAATTTGGTTAAATGAATTTGTTATCAATAATTAAAACTACTTTTAAACCCCACGTTTCTTATTTTCCATTTCATTAGTTCCGACGCTTCGAATATTTTGCTTTCTGTGGCCACGGACCGCTGTTATCAGTGTTAAACTCCAGACCCTCGTAACCTTTGTATGCAAATTCAGTTTATCGATGACACCATTTACGGAATGGTTTTACATTATTTGAATATTATTAATACTGACAATGACTTTACAAGAATACCAACTGGACCTGCAAAAATTACTTTACATACTACGTCAGTGGATCCTTTTGGTTTCTTTAAAATAGTGAGATGTCATCAACTAGGACATAAATAAATGCATATTTGGATGAGGCTGGACAGAACTAACAGCAGAAACGTTTATTTTAAATTAACTGAATTTATCTTTTGGATTAGGTACCAATTTTTTTTTATTTGCTTGCATGGGTGGACGATCTCACAGCCCACCTAGTATTAAGTAGTTACTGGAACCGATAGACATCTACAACGTAAATGTCGCCACTCACCTTGAGATATAAGTTCTAAGGTCTCACTATGGTTACACCGGCTGCCCCACCCTTCAAACCGAAACGCATTACTGCTTCACGGCAGAAATAGGCGGGGTGGTGCTACCTACCCGTGCGGACTCCCAAGAGGTCCTACAACCAATAATTACGCAAAATAATTATTTTGCTGGTAATTATTTTCATTACACGATGCTATTGCTTCACCGTGCAAGTCAATCGTGAACATTTGATAAGTACGTATTTCATTAGAAAAATTGGAACCCGCCTACGGGATTCGAACACCGTTGCATCGCTAGATAAGAATGCACCGGACGTCTTATCCTTTAGGCCACGACGACTTCAAGTTGGTTATCCCGTGGGCCCGCGGTTCACTCCCGACCTCTGCGGACCGTCCAGTCCCACAAACACGCGGGGCCCTCGTAAGAGGTTCGACCCTCGGTCTCAAAAAAAGGTACCAAGTAAGTTTTATAACAATGAACAGTGCAGTTATTCCAGTGCAGTGCCAATTTTGCAAAAACTGAATTCTGAAGAAACATTCTTTCGTATCGTCGTGAGGAACAATTCCGGTCACCGTCCTCGTCGAACCCGAGGGCTCGACGAGCGAATTAACCCTATAGACATAGCCCACTGAGTTTCTCGCCGGATCTTCTCAGTGGGTCGCGTTTCTGATCCGGTGGTAGATTCTGCGAAGCACTGCTCTTGCTAGGGTCAGTGTTAGCAACTCTCCGGTTGAGCCCCGTGAGCTCACCTACGAACGTTAGGGTGAAGCTGAAATAGCCTCTTAAGGCTATCAGCATAGGTAGGAAAAAAAGGAACAATGAATCTTAAATCAATCATTTAAAACTACAGCTAGAATAAAACCTTTATTTTTTTAGTATTTTATTACACTTCATGTAATATTTCAAATGGCGGACTTAATGCATAAGCACTGAAGTATGAAACCTATGCCTAGGGCCATTCTCTACCGGTCAAGCAAAGGTAGTTCATAATAAATAAAAAATAGTTTAGATATCACTAAAATATAAAATGTTTTGCTACTGCTATACTGTGTCTCCTACAAATCATATTATCAAGAAAAGATGCCATAACAAATTTTTTACATGGTGTTTTTCATAAACGCAGAGAAAAGTTTAGAAGCCACTTGTTAAAAGATTTTCTTGGCAAGACACGATATGACTTTTGCTACTAGAAGATGGAGAAGGATACGAATTATAATTACAGAAGATTATAAGACGAAAACGAGGACGTTACTACAGACGGAAATGATGAAATAATTACCGACATTACAAGGACTCGAATTGGCCGAGGTTGCATACACGTATCATCATATGAATAGCTAGACTGTTGGACGGTTCTATTTGAGTGGATTGGATTCTGGAGGTGAGGGAGTATTTTAAAACAATCTGCTTTAAGGTTAATATATATGTATGTAACAAACATGATGTACACTATTATACTGTTACAATATTTTATTTTAATAAAACCCTAAGATGTTTCACTGTCCGTATCTCTGAAGAGAAGACAATCATCTGTTTTAAACATTTAAATAAACATTCAAATATTCGAAGACTGTTACTTCACATGTGATAAGTGTTGCCTGCCATTACCTATTAATCAAACTCCAACACAGACAGACCATCATTACTAAAGAGCTTAGTCTTTTTATGTTTGAAAATGAAACCAAAAGTATGCCTGAGTTTCTGGCCGGATCTTCTCAGTGGGTCGCGAATCCGATCCGGTGGATTCAGCGAAGCATTTCTCTTTTTGTAGGGCTAGTGTTAGCAAATTCTCTCAGGGTGACCCCGTGAGCTCACCTACCCGTTCCGGCATAGCTGAAATGGCCCCTTAGGCTACCAGCGAATAGTTAGGGGAAAAAAGTTTGTCTTGACTATTTGTTACGTGCTGCAGTCATGCGTTCCGGTTTGAAATATGAAACTTCCGTTATACAATAAAACGGAGACTTAGAGCTCATAGATAACGAGTCTCAAAATGACGTTTCGCGTTGTGATGTCTAGGGATTCTGGAAGGCACTTAAAATCAGGTGAGCCGTAAAGTTATTCACTGGTCTATGCCATAAATAAACAAATTGATTGCTTTCTTCAAGCGGGAGGTATTTAATATATGCTAATTTACAGAGAAGCCAGTATGATAGTTAAGCTGTTCGTCGTCTGTATGAAGTAAGGTACCTATCTATCTAAATTGGAAGATTGGATTGAAATCGTTAAATGGGAGACAAGTTGAAGAAGTGTCCAGCCGAAAGCAGCAATTTACAACTAAAAATCCCACACCGAAATAGCACTAGCGTAGCAAGTGTATATATAATAAGAAAGTATGAAAGTAAGGGAGTGAAATGCGACGAGTTGAAAATTTTAATATAAAAACTTTTGGGACTATCTTTAAAATTACACCACTTGTTACGGTGACGCTACCTTATTTAATGGTTCTTCGACAGACACTGTTTCATACTTTTCTGGTGGTAGGACCTCTTGTGAGTCCGCGCGGATAGGTACCACCACCCTGCCTATTTCTGCCGTGAAGCAATAATGCGTTTCGGCTTGAAGGGTGGGGCAGCCGTTGTAACTATACCGAGACCTTAGAACTGATATCTCAAGGTGGGTGGCGCATTGACATTATAGATGTCTATGGGCTCTAGTAACCACTTAACACCAAGTGGGCTGTGAGCTCGTCCACCCATCTAAACAATAAAAAAAACTTGGAGAATGCTCCTTACCTCTACCGTCCATAGTTGTTAGTCGGTCAGTGTTATATTTTAATTAAATACAAAACGATAATAATCTATTATTACACAAAAAACACTTCATTCTATATATCACAGGATTTAATCGTTTATTTCTAAGAACAAACATCTTTAAATTATACATTTAGTCTAAATTTTTACTACTAAAATACATTATGAGGTAATGTTTCTTTTTTGTTTATAAATACTATCGTACCCTGTCGTGCCCATATTAATTCACAGACAAAAGTGGTTATACATACTAATAGGTCACTCAATGTTCATATTATTCTAGTTCACATCAGCACACGAATAGTTATCATCTCAATGTTCCACAGTTTCGACATCTAATGGAGATTCCGATTTTTCAATTTCGCCAAAAGACTCCGAGTCTGTTCCACACGTTAATATTCCATTTGCTTCTATAATTATATTTCTAGTTACATTTGCCTCATTTTGTACCATCATTAAAGCTTTCGTTGAGGATACTCCAAAGTTATGTTGTTGAAACCATACCGAATTGTTCATAAGGCCGGTTCGAGATGTAGACGTAGGTGGTAGTGTGACAGCGACTGGTGGCCTAATGTTCGCACACTTCTCTCTGCGTTCACGAGCACGACGATTTTGGAACCAGATTTTAATCTGTGAATGATTACAATACACTTATCATTATGTTAAGCGCCCGTGGTTTAATACATAGTATGCCTGGTGTAGCAACGCCAGTACATCATGCTTCGATTCTGCGTAAGGAACCGATTTTTATATAATCATGTACAAGATCCCCGCACGTGAAGTAGGTATGTGGGATTATCGTCTGCCGAAGCAGGAGTCATCGGAGATTGATTAAGGCGGATGAAAGATCTATTAAACGACTACTCGCGCCATTAGGTAGAGCATCCAAGCCTCACCCATAACAGCACCCAGAAAAAGTAAAGGGACACTGCAACGAAGGTCTCTTATGGTCGGCAGCTAGACAAGCCGCCCAGGCGCCGCTAGCGGTACTTCCGGAAGAGTAATCATGTACCTAAGAATCGGCCCCTCGGGAACAAATGATCGTTTTCTATTTCCTTATTGTTCATTATAGTAGTTCGTACTAGCAATCCTCATCGTGGCAAATCAACCATATATTGTCTGCACCACTGCTCAAAGTGAATTAGTTAAACCTTTAATGAAATTATAAAAGTCGGCTGCATATTTAGTAAAAACTGACCCTGTCGTCTCGTAGCTGTAAGGCCGCAGCGAGAGCCCTCAGTGCCGGTGGTGCGAGGTACGCAGCGCGAGAGTATGCGGCCTCCAGCGCGGCCGCCTGCGTCGCTGTGAAGGGGACCCGCGCGTGACGTCCTGATCTACGTGACCTGCAACCACTGTTCACGGCACCTACAAAATACGAACAAACATTCAGAAATTTAAAGTACCAACCTACAAGAAAAGCAATCACCTCTAAATTGTTCTGTAATCGAGTAATAAAATTGAATATTGTTATGTCGTGCAAAACAAAAACATTTCGCCATTTTCCTGAATGATTAAGCTAAGTTTTCTTTAAATGCCGAGAGCTGGACATGACATAGCACTGAGTGAACACTAGGAAAGTATATTCCTATGAAGACAGTATAAGATAGAAACGACATCTGGAAAACAACTGTTCGTAATGGAAAAGGCTCCTAGAATGAATTTCTTGTCAACGCTTCTAGAAGGTGAAATACGAACAAAAAATTTAAATGCTCTGATGAGCAGAGACAGATATCTATAGTCTTATAGATAGATACAGTCTTATAGCACTTCCCATGCTCCCATTTTTTTGTGAAATATACTTAGAGGCCTAAAAGTCCATTCGCATATCGAAAGACTTCAAGACAATCGGAATTCCCGATTGGAATCCCCCACTTAAAAATGGTATTTAAGAGGTCCGGCCCAGATCTTAGAGCAATGTTCCACTCGAGGTTTGACAAACGATTTGTATAGAAAATTTGTATAATCACTTCATGCGTGTAGTAACCTATTTCACCTGTCTAGAACAGGAAATTTATTTAGTGTCGGACTTTTATTCTTTTTTTTGTAAACCTTGGCCCCGTCTGGCCCGTTGGCTCTTGGGTCTGCTTGACACTAATTTACTAAAAATATTCAAATCAGAAGCAACTGAATCAATTAATAAACTATCGATGCAAACGACGACCGAAGAGGTAAAATTAAGTTCAAGTATATGCATTGGAAGTTGCAAATTGGATATGTATCGTCTTTTTTTTCGTACTTTTAATCCATTATCAGCTTAAATAAAAATATTTTATATTGCGCAACATTTAAACACATTGATCGTCAATACAGTCTTTAAATAATTATATAACACACTCTGAATAAATCAGTACTTTTCTAAAATCACTAACGTGGCAAACGCGGTGGTCTATACCGGGTACAGCATAACCAATCCGGAACTTTCTTGTCTTCTTTATTTTTTGAATCATCACTCAAGATTCTTTCAATGCTAAAGTCGGAATTACACTTGGAAGTGGACTGAGCTGACGATGGATCCATGGCCTTGTTACTGGTCCGAACAACAAATGACCGGGATTCAGAAATTCTACCCTAAATTTGTTGCACAATACTGGGAGGAGTCACGACATCACCCCGCCCTTACCGGAGGTTGGATGTTGGGCTCCTAAAATGTGTTTATGTTATCAGTGACCGCAATCAAGAAAAGCTTACGCCTCACTGAACCCACTAGTTGTAGTATTGTGACGTCCTTTCATTCATACGATACTCAAACAGAATGGGGAATAGATACAATTTACACACAAAAGAATGTTATAACTTTAAGGGTATGTGGGAAAATTAATTTGTAATTGATATTATATTGCTTTTGTTCTCTTGTAACTTGATCCTTTATTGTGGAAGGTGAATTAAAAATAGCTAATCCCATCTGTCATAACACTAATACATTTTCAATTAACGATCTTACACGGAGGATTTTGCTGGTTTTTTTTTGCTGGTTAGCGTAAAATTCTTAGTTTTGTCCGATTTAAAAATTAATCAAGGCCTTGAATGCGGGAATTATTTCTTTATACAGGCTTTTGGTTGTTACCGTTTTGCAAAACGAAAACAACGGCCGTCTGGTGTAGTGGTAAGTGACATGGTCACTACACAAGGGGGTCGCGGGTTCGAATCCTGCCAAGGGAAGATATTTGTATGATAAATATAAATGTCTTTTCCAGGGTTATGGATGTATATTAAATATATGTATGTGTATAATAAAAATCTTACATTTATTTCCGTTATCTGGTACCTGTAACACAAGTTCTTTACGAACTTATCACGGGACCAGTTAACGTGGCGTGATTGTTAAAAAAGAAAAAGAAAAAAGGTACGTCTTGTTAAAGGCCAAATAGTGTCACCACTCACTTTTCTAATAATATAATTACTTACAGTAGGTACATTGCCGAGCAATACACTATATTCTAAGGACTGTTAGATTTTCGGAAAGCGTACGTTAGTGCGGTATCCTTTGTATATTAAAATGAACAGATAAGTATTGTCAAGTGCCGTTGACAGATAACTAAACGTTTACTGCTCCACTAGTATAAAAACAAGCTCAAGTACCACATTATTATATGGTTAGACGTTGCAGCATAATGGATTTGTTTACGGAACCGCAAATGCAACAATGGGACAATTACCTCAAACATTTAATTCAATTATGTCCGTCTATTGCAGATGTTGGTTTCGACATTCTCGGACAATTACAGCTTGCCTAGGTACATACTTAGGTATATTAACAATAACGAAATTGATTAGCTGTGTAAGATTGACACACTACTAATACGAAGTTTGGTATTAAAAAATATAAATGTTAAAATGCTGTTTTTGAAGTGGAGCTTGACCTTTTTCAGATTGAAATGGAAAGTTTTCTAAAACCAAAACCTTAGCATTACCATACATAAACAGTAATTTCTTTTTTTATTTGTTAAGTTAAGCTTTTCAGATATTTCTTTAGGATTCGCATATTTTGTGAAGCCGCAATCATTACGCAGAAGATTAAGCCAAGCCCACATGTAGAATAATCTATCTATATCTATGAACGTAGTCTTCGCCATGACGACATCAAATTTATTAGCTTATCTACTGTAAACCCACAAGCTTTGGACGAGTTTCAAAGTCTTTATATGATATAGCTCATGATATAGCTTCCAGTAAGCAGCGTGGAATTCATTCTAGAGCTGAATGGTCCGAGACAAGAATGATACTTGAAAACGCATTGTGGATGAATGTATTAAGGATAAAGTGAGATGACGTGATCATTTCGAACAATTGTTCAGAGCGTCCACCATAGAATATATTGTGTTTTTTTAGAAAAAACTTATGATTCTATTAAAAATTTGAAACTTATTAAAATACCAACTGTGCCCGCGACTCCGTCCGCGTGGAATAGCGACTTTGGGCAGCAGTTTTAGGACATATCTTTTGGTTTGTAAACACCGTCATTTGGGTATTTAGAAAAATCTAATTTAAAGTAATGCTTCTCTATGCACGACATTATAGCCATCGGGGATCAAAGCATACAGGTTGCTAGGATTGCTAACATGTCACAGAGTTACATAACCGTGTGACCGAGTTGACTGTGTGAAAAGCAGTTAACACTTAAATCTACACCCACAACTTTTAGCGTCTGACCTTGGGGCTTTATTTATTATCATCACGAAGCACTCACTGGAAACGCGATCGGTAGTGAGTCGTGCTTCCCGTTCTTCTAGTGTCTCCCGAGACCGAGCATGCTTTTGCTGTCTGAACCCTCTGAAAGCTCAGACGGATTGCCCTATCAGTAAAGGTCTCAAACTCAAGCGATAGTGCATGAGTCTCGCGATTGGCAGTGAGACGTGTTTCTCGTTCTTCAAGTGTCTCCTGAGACCGGGCTTTTGCTGTCTGAACCCTCTGAGAGCTTAGAAGGATTTTCCTATCAGTAAAGGTCGCAGACTCAAGCGATAGTGCACGCGCCTCGCGATCGGCAGTGATACGTGCTTCTCGTTCTGCAAGTGTATCCTAAGACCGGGCATTTGCTGTCCGAACCCTCTGAGAGCTCAGACAGATTTCCCTATCAGTAAAGATCTCAAACTCAAGCGATAGTCCATGCGCCTCGCGACCGGCAGTGAGACGTGCTTCTCGTTCTGCAAGTGTCTCCTAAGACCGGCCATTTGCTGTCCAAACCCTCTGAAAGCTCAGACGGATTTCCCTATCAGTAAAGGTCTCAGACTCAAGCGATAGTGCATGAGCCTCGCGATCGGCAGTGAGACGTGTTTCTCGTTCTTCAAGTACCTATCTCTTGAGACCAGGTATTTGCTATCCAAACTCTCTGAGGAGCTCAGGCGGGATTCCCTATCAGTGGAAGTCTCAGACTCACGCGATAGTGCATAAGATTCACGATCGATGGACAAACGTGCGTCACGCTGTTCCCTGTTCACCCTAATTTGAGTGGCCATTATTTGAAAACAATGTGAACTCAATCGAGATTGTCGCTGAGCCGAAGTTTCTAGAACACGAAACCTCGCCTGACGTTCCTGAGATGTAGTGAGTCTTGCCTCATGACCTTCTTCAGATTCCTGTGATCGAACTAATCTCATCCTTTTAGCATTCCTGCTGCACTGAGAGAGATTGGATCTTTTTCGAGGCATTCTTACAATAAGTAATACCTACTAACACAACCTTGTTTGGTAAACACGTTCTTATCATAAAACTAAATTATAAATGCTTACAGATTATTACACAGTTTAACTTTATTACAGTTTATTAATTATTAATAACTATTAAGACGTGTCAACCTAATCTTTTAACTATACAAAACAAACGTGCCTATGGGTTAATTTACTCGTCGAGCCCTCGGCTCGGCAAGGAGCCAGCGGCGCGGCATCGGCGCGCTTTGTATATGATGAGAGTAAAATTTTACGATGCGCGCGCACCGTGACACTTTCTTCTTCGTCGCTTTCTTCATTGCTGAAGGTCGTGTCCCTGAAACTGAAACACCGTGACACAAAATTAACAGAAATGAAGTTGGCCACTAAATCGCTCATTACAATACGACCGACCTAACTTGGCGAGTCTGAATATAGCCGCAGGTGAACTTTCGCGCATGTACACTCGTAAAAAAAAGTGTTATTAGCATTCATTTTTTAACGTTAAATATTTATTATTAATCAATTAATATTTTAAAAAAAATTGAATAAAAATAAAGTATAGCTTCTTACGCACGTACATAAGTACACGCAACTTTTTTTTAATTTATAAACCGATTGACATGAAACAAACACTAAATGTTAAGTAAAGCTTACCACAATAAATTAGTGAAAACCACATTTAAATCGGCAGAGCTGCTTTCTGAGATTAGCGTGCACAAACGCACAGACAAACAGATAAACAGACAAAAATTCTAAAAATCATTATTTTGGGTTCTATTGCGTTCGTAAAGCCCCCTATAATAATTTTCCTGAGATATCTTCCATGTACAGACAGCGACCAGTTACAATTTTATTATATGTATTGATGATGATTAATGATTGATATTGATTGATGATGTATTGATGATGTATTGATTGTTGATGATGATAGTGAAGCATTCTCAAATTAATTTTCATTTTCGGAATAGTTTAGTTATAGTTAAATTATAAGAATCTTTCTTTGCATGGAAAAATCCTCTTAGGACGCCCGAACGATTTGAATATATTTTTTTACCTATTCTGGTAACCGCGAGGGGTTATTCTAGATTCACCGAGTTAGTAGGTGAACTCACGAAGCTCAAACCGGGAATGTTGCTAACATTGGCCCTAGCAAGAGCAGTGCTTTGCAAAATCTACCACCGGATCAGAAACGTTACCCACTGACTGAGAAGATCCGGCGAGAAACGGTGTCTATTGGTTAATTTACTCGTCGAGCTTTCGTCGCAAGCGACGGTTTAGGCACGAGGACGGTGCCTGGTGCTTGAGGTACCTAGAAGCAACGTTAATGGATCGGGAGGATCCGTAGTGACGTATTAACATCCAGTACAAAGCACAGAGAGAACCTTTGTTATCCCATACTTAATATTTAATATTTTTTTCTTTGTTCCACTTCAATATCTCTTCGTCGACAAGACAACATAATTAAGACTAGGTATATTTCTAAAATCACAATTACATATAAATAAATTATCTGGTCAAATCGTTACGATATTATTCAGAAAAAAATATATTTAAACTATGATTGTATGGTTGTTTTGCAGACCGACGCGGCGGCCAGTGAACCGGTAATTGCTTCAAGTGCGCCAGGCACCAAGGCTGTACCGAACCGGCAGTCAGTGCAACCTCTCGCTTTCATTGTGTTTTTACACACAGTCTGCAGTTAAGACTGACCGTAAATACAAGTGTAAAAAAAAAACAAAAATACACTATAAATTTCGAACGCTGAAGCATCAAATATATTTAAAATGTCGGTCCCAGAATACTTCGAGTTAAACGGAGGAGATCGCATGCCCAAAATTGGATTTGGTACTTGGCAGGTAAGTTTCTCTTCGACTATAATAGACAATTATTTTACTAAAAATTCAAATTTCCAAAGGTCACTATAAACTTTATCGGAACGCGTTCAATTTATATAATAGCTTTGACCTCAGCGTGAACTTGAATTGCTAAAAACCTTCAACTGTATTGAGGTTTCACTCAAACGAAATAATGTTGTTTTACACGCGATCTTGAAGTTCCTGAGATTAACTCTTTCATACATCTAAAGCCTTTTTTTTTTCCTACCTAAGCTGAGAGAACATTTCAGCATAGACTTACTTAACTAGTAAGTGAGCTCACGGGGCTCAAACCTAACGACATTGCTAACACTAACCCTAGCATGAGCAATGCTTCGTAGAATCTACCACCGGTTCGGAAACGCGACCCACTGAGACGATCCGGCGAGAGACTCAGTGGGCTGTATCTGTGGGTTAATTTACTCGCCGAACCCTTCGTCGACCGGCTTTGTGCAACTATCATAATTTTTCGTTTCACCCCAAAATTAACAAATTTTCAAAAACCTTTTATCTATTTTTTTAAATATTAATAAGTATTCAACAGTGAAAGTTCACTACCTATTCAATTTACAGCGTAACATAATTGCAACAAAATCCAACGTTTCTTCTTTATCTCTAACTTTTAAGGATTCAATTTTCATAGGATAAACAAATATTTTGAAATTTCTACACAGTCAGTAATTGGCAGAGATTATTTTTACGGAAAAGAGATAGATATAATCCTTCAATGGGTCTTGTGATTATCAAAAAGACATAGGATCACGCAGACGGACATAATGTACTGCAGCCGTGCAGAAGAGAGCATGGGGAGGTTCGACATGTGCAAGCTCTCCATTCTGTGCATTACTTCACCCCTGTTCTATATGGCAAGGAGCCCATGCCCAAACAGGGGGGTTCGCCCCGAGGCCCGTCCCATGCCCCTGTCAGGAAACATGACGACCCCAGTAGTAGATGGACATCACATGTTTCCAGTTGTCTAGTACTCTCGGATACACCTCTATCATGCATCCGTCGTCTCCTACGTCTTTTCTGAATCTCACTGTGACTCCCGTCCTGAGAGCTAGTGGTATACTATGGTCCAAGCCCTAAACAGGTCGCTACCACAGTTGATCTATATCTATATGGTATACGAATCGCGCTTTCCACTTTAATGAATGGATCACCGTTAATGAAATACAATCGAAACTTCAGTCTCATGTACCAAAGTGGGCTGAGCGGTTCACCGTTCTATGGCCTACGATACTCGCTTAATTTGCTTAACCCTTTGACCGCCACGTAGGTCATCGGTGCCATACGCGGCGTACTGAACTTATTATATCGATTTCTTTCACTAAGACGCCGGAATATCTAGTAGACTCTGGGAAAGATGAATCCGAAGATACTGGAGAATGAATTTAATTCTAAGATACGTTAAAGACTACAAACATAAACTAACAGACAAAAGAGCAAAGTTATGCAATCCAGGCGCCTTAGTAAACGAAATTGATATAATTACTTCAGTGCGCCGCGTGGGCACCGGTGACCGGCACGGCACTAAAAGGGTTAAAGCTTAACGATTATGTTAAAATCTCGATTAGGTACATTTACTGTTCTCCTCGGCTGGATATGAATGTTTCAAACACCGAAGTGAGGGTCAATGCGTATGTAGATATAGAATATATATATTTTTTATTGCTTAGATGGGTGGACGAGCTCACAGCCCATCTGGTGTTAAGTGGTTACTGGAGCCCATAGACATCTAAAACGTAAATGCGCCACCCACCTTGAGATACAAGTTCTAAAGTATCAGTATAGTTACAACGGCTGCCCCACCCTTCAAACCGAAACGCATTACTGCTTCGCGGCAGAAATAGGCAGGGCGGTGGTACCTATCCGCGCGGACTCACAAGTGGTCCTACCACTAGTAAAAATATAAGTAAGAATATAGACCAATATACAAAGTACTTACGGCTCTAAGCTATAAGGCTGCCTATTGTTATTATTATTGTTCTTTGTGGTGTGGCAAAAGCTTTCAGTGTTATAAAAATAACTAAACTTGACTACAATGGTTTCTAAATTATGTCTCCAGTGAATTGGTAAACTACACCACTGAATTATAATCATTAAATTATTTCACGGATTGAAAGATAAAACTTTTTTAATTTCTAAAATTCACAACAAAAGTTTTATTGATCGAGATAATGTGAGAAAGAGTGAACGTACTCGTGAGAAAATATTTTACATATTCTCATGAACGAATTGTTCGTCGACACTAAAAATAACAGTAAAGGTACTTTCAACACAACTTAGTTATTTTATTTTCTCATATTCATTTCAAGTCCTTTTCGCTTTGCTCGTACACTGCGTTTCTCGATTTCTTTTCTTTATGAAAGATTTTGTTCCTCTGAATGTTTCGTTTAAGGTAATTCTTGAATGTGCTCCATTTCGACTTGTGTAGGACGGTCGATGAATCCACTATCAAGAAAGGCTTATTGTATTTGACAGATTCACAGGAACACCTATCGCTTACAGAACAGTTCTCGCTTCCGTCGTAATCGCCGCTTGAATGAGACAAGCCTCTCGAAGTTGAAGCTCTGCATAGGCTCAATTGGACAGGCCATTTCTCTTTAACCGTATTCGTTTTATTGCAACTCGCGTCTACATTATGATTGTTATTTGTATCGGACATTAAAGTACGAACTGTCCGTGTATTTTCATTTTATAAATCTTGTACCTACACGTTAAAATATTGATTTTGTAGTGTAAATAATTAACTAATTGTGTATTTTCTATGGAAATATTCGATTTGAAAACAAAGTCATTTAATTATCTTTGCTTTATTTTCAATCAACATTATCTTTGAAATACTCTAAGCAAAGAGAATCTATCTACCTATAAGAATAGAATACCGAGTTTAAAAATTTTCGCATTTCTCCGCTCGCACAGAAGGTACAAGAAATCATCTGTCACCAAAACTAAACTCGATGATTATAATAATGTAGACTAACTAATCTAATATAATGAAATAAAAATAATAAACCCGAGTTTAAACTGTAAGAATAAGTTTAATTATGTCATTGATATTATTATAATTAAAACTCGTGAAAATCGAAGAAAACACTAAACACCTATAGGATCGGTTCATTCTTTAGTCTTTGTCCCAAAAACGGTGGGAATTCTATTGAAATTTGTATTTAGTTTGTGAGATCTGCGCTTGCAAAATCTAAGAAGTTTGTGTGTCCTTGTTCCGTATCCCATTTTTTTTATATTGTCGTTTCGGCACTAATAATTACTCTAATTAATTTTAGTCGCTAGGTCGTTTTATCTTTTATTACTGTCAGATTTATAATTTATTAATATATATTTATTAATATAATCTGACGAAGCGTGTTGCGGATAATAATATGTTTAAAAAAAGTGTTATTTCATTATTGCGAAAAATAAAGATTTAAATGATATGTTAATTTATTAAATACTTTTTCGATCTATACCTGCTTTCGAATACCTACTCTATAGATTCTGTGGTGAAGAACGAATCATCCGTGAGTTCCATTAACTGAACTAGTGTTCGCCCCCGGGTCGAAATTCAATCTTATTCACTTACTTATATCTCAGGACACTATGTACTACTTTTTCTCTTGTTTATATTAACAACTTGTATTAGCACTTTTTCTTGCAAAGTTAGGTAAAAAATAACTATTATCCAAATGTTTTCATTGATAAATAATAAAGCGAGTCATAGATACTTTAAAAAGATCTGTTGACATACAAAGGAGAAAAAAGTCTTCAATTGATTTGTATTTTCCTATGTATATTACAGATTTACAGATATACGGATTTTAATAATTTCTACGTAAATCTTATGTATCATGATATTTACCATAATTTTACGTAGTGCATTAATTAAACCATCAGAACATAATGAAAACCACCCTGGTGTATTAACAACGTTGTAATTATTTTTCTAAATTTCACTTATTATTATCCGACTTAAATATTTCTTGTTTAAAATCATTCGAGCCTTTCATCAACAATATTGAGTCTTTGTTTCAGTCATCTGATGAAGTCTTAGAGAAGGCTGTACTGGCCGCTTTGGATGCGGGCTATAGACACTTCGACACCGCCCATGCCTATGAGAACGAGGCAGCTTTGGGGCGAGCGCTACGGAAATGGATCGGTGATGACCCCGCCAAAAGGCGAGAGCTATTCGTCGTCACCAAATTGCCACCAGGAGGTCGGTCCATTTAATGAAACTTTTGTATTAATTCTATATACCTACCTACCTTATTGCATGAATTTTTTATTCAATTTAATTTTATTATGTCATTTGTCTGCATCTAAAGCTATTTGACTCTAATTAAGGATAAGTCATCGAAAAATAAGACTGTACTGCGCGGGTTTTTTTTTTTATAGAAGAATCTCTAGTCTCTTTGATGCCTTCCCAGCTTCACCAACTGGGGCACGATTCCAGAACTATAACTAACAATTTAATTTCCATTTTCAACCATTTGCTATGAGAATTTTAAAAACAAGACAGAGAATAGTTAGTTTTGTTAAAAAAATACAAACTAAGTAGGGATTTTTAATCATCAACAGGTAATCGTCCAGATTTGGTCAGGGAGTATTTTGACACGTCTATCCGTAACCTCGGATTGGATTACATAGATATGTATTTGATGCACACACCCTTTGCGTTCGAACATGTACCAGGTGACCTGCATCCTAAGAACCCTGACGGCACTATGAAGGTGGACTATTCCACGGATCTAGCAGCAGTCTGGAAAGTAAGTGAATTCAAATAACATAACTAATTTACTAAAGTACAGAAAACTGATTATGACCTTTAAAATAACTGCTAACTAAAGATATAGATAGAAATTAAAACGCAGCAAGTGTGATTTTCACGATTCGTAGAAATAAAACTGCATTTACGATTTAATCTCGCGTCTTTTATTGAAATTATTTCTGTTGTTCCGAATACTTTACAGTTTTCGTAGTGATGAACGATTGTAACTGTGAAGCAGTAATGCGTTTCGGTTTGAAGAGTGGGGCAGCCGTTGTAGCTATACTTGAGACCTTAGAATTTATATCTCAAGGTGGGTGGCGCATTTGCGTTGTGGATGTCTATGGGCTCCAGTAACCACTTAACATCAGGTAGGCTGTGAGCTCGTCCACCCATCTAAGCAATAAAAAAAATAAAAAATAAAAGAAAATGTAATAAGTAAATAACTGTCATAATTGACCCGTAAAAGAATACTGAAAATGTCTACGGACTCCAATAAGTGCTTCACAATAGTACTATAAAATCACCCATCTAATGTTAGGGAAATGAAATATTTGCTTGTTTTTTTTTTGTAAATTATTTCGATACAGTTATTAGCTTTAGGTACCAAACTTTTTCGCTATATCATTATAATGTAAATATGACAAGAACATGATTACTCTAAAAGATATGTCAAATTGCATACCATCACATTCATAATTCATAAGATATTACTTACGCGTTGGTTACAAAATTGTAAATGTGGTTCAATAAGTTGGTAAATTTGTATAGGCTGTAAAATGGGCGTTTCATTCACTGATTCTTACGAAGTAAATAACAAAAATAAACAATACAGTGACATTAAGAATATAAAATTGAATGCGAATTATAGAAACGATGAAGTATACCAAGAATGTAGCTACCAGACGCCGACGCTAAAATCTCTGAAAAATGTGTCCGACCTTGTAGGAGTTCATAACAACATCCATCACAAAACAAACATGGAACAATCTTGGTCAAAAGTGTACAAGTCTCCGCCACCAAAAAGACATTCTCCACAATTAGAAATTGGAGTTAATGTTATCAATTCTTTAAGTAATTTAAATAATTTAACTGAAATAGAATATAAGCGGACGAAAATGAATGAAGTCGCGGTCAGTCCACGTACTTCTATGACTTGCGTAAAAACCACTGATAATGACAGAGTCCAGAAGTCGAGATGGGATAAAATAACGTTCCCAAAATTTGTTTGTCCCTGTTGTACTGGAGGTGATGATGATGTAGAAAATTTAAACAATCAGCGCCCAACAACTTCTTATGAAAGTATTGACTTGAAAGTTGGTTCTGATTCAGAAATGTTTTCAATTAACTTAGATCCCTCGCTAATGAGCATAATACGACTTCAAAAACATTTAAAGGCAAGAAGAACACCGAACACATGCGGCAAACTCGTAAAAGTATTACTTCAAAATACATTTAAGAACATTATAACTTCGATTAGAAAAATATAGAAAATTCCGCTTAGAAAAATATAACTCGTACCAACCAACACTTCTACAACCCCGGAAAATATTTCTACACTTTTTAGGAATCAATATTATAAAAACGTGTTCAAACAAAAAGTTTCAATATATTTTGAAGAAGTCTGACATAACCAACGTACGTTGTCAAAAATTATAAGTTTAACATACTATAATATGATAATTTTATAACCTACATATTGTCCATCCTGTCAATGTGTCAAAAACGTGTGTTAAAATGCCACATCCACAAATTAAAACTCAATTTATTTATTACTGGTGTAAGACCTCTTGTGAGTCCGCACGGATAGGTACCACCGCCCTGCCTATTTCGGCCGTGAAGCAGTAATGCGTTTCGGTTTGAAGGGTGGGGCAGCCGTTGTAACTATACTGAGACCTTAGAACTTATATCTCAAGGTGTGTGGCGCATTTACGTTGTAGATGTCTATGGGCTCCAGTAACCACTTAACACCAGGTGGGCTGTGAGTTCGTCCACACAACTAGGCAATAAAAAAATAAATAAAAAGTTAAAAAAAGTAAGCCCCATGAAATAAAATACAAACCTGAATACTTAAGAAAACGAAGAACCAAATAAGAATGGATTAAAAATTCAAATACAAACGTCAATTCTTTTTATTGCCCAACTAAATAAGAAAAAATTTAATAGACCCCCAAATAGTTATTCTCTTCCAGTTTTCCCGGAAAATTTCACCGATATTATGCCTATCGCAGTGTAAAAAAAGTATAGTCAATTTATCAGCTACGAAAAGAAAACCATCCAGTTTTCCGATCGCTCACAAATAAGAACTTTGAATTAAAAGATTATAAAAACAAACATATTTTATGTACCAAGTGAAATGAACCCCTGGAATATGATGAACCCGTAAAAGTCTTTCAAAGTATTGTTCCGACATAAAACCTCAAACCTGTCTAAATACATGTTGCCTGAAAAACAATCAAAAGAATGATTACCTAAATCCTAAAAGGTATCCACTAACACGATAATTCGAAAAAAAAACATTGATAGTGTGATTTCAATGAATTCAAGCGATTGCGGTTGTCAGTACCTACAGCTTAATCACATTCTGGAAATACGTTTCAAAAGTTTTGACAAGATCATTTTCAGGATCGTTTGTCTCATCAGCCTAATGCCTAAAACCACAGCATTTTTTTATGGAAAATTTAGTCAAGTTAAAAGAAAAAGAAAACAATCAAGCACTTTCAACATTTTCCTATCCACACTTAAAACGAAATTTAAATTTTACAATCATCATAAAAGTACAATGCTTAATACTGAAAATAAATTAATTTATTATCCTCCGCGTGATGTTCGCCAAAAAAACTATTGATGATTGAAGACTAACCCTCGTAGAGTCTCCTAAGAACATTTTCACAACAAAAATTCACATGAGCTACGTAAATATTTATTTCCATGTCTAAAAAATACAAATCTCAGTAATTTTGTACTAACAGTATCATGGGTGTAGTACGATTGAAACTGAAATTCACGTTTCGGTTGCTTATGATTCGTAATGTTTCAGACACTGCTAAAATTAAAAGAATCCGGTCAGGTGCGTCATCTCGGAGTTTCGAATTTGAATTTAGAACAACTGACTAGACTCAGTAAAATCGAGAAGCCAGCTTGCTTACAAGTAGAAGTTCACCTGCTGTGCCAGCAAAAAGCTTTAGTCGAGGCTGCGAAAAAATTATCAATTCCTATTGTGGCGTACTCTCCGCTCGGATCAAAAGCGCTCGCGGACGCCTTAGCTGCTAAAACTGGGTAAGTAAAGCAAAAATGTTTAGAGACTCGATCCTGGCTGACAATAGTATTTGTTCGTGTCACTCTCCTTTACATTTCAATTTGAATAAGATTTTTATATATAAAAGCGTTAGAGATGTTATATCTTGTGTGACTATAGGCTATCGATATGTGTGTAGTAGTATATTACTTACCTAGGAAGGGAAGTGTAAAGGGCGTCACACTCGGCGAAGATAGTATAATATTTTATTGTAACATATAATTTTTCATTTTGTATGAAGTATCCCACATGGTTAATATAATATATATTTGATGGTTTATACAAAATGTATAGCGAGCGATATCGTATGTTAAGATAAAATAATATTATAGTATATTTGCCATGTGTGACGTCCTTTACTTTCCGATCCACTTAATTTTACATATACGTAGTGTTGGGATATCGTATTCTGTATTTCCGGCACATACACATTTTTTTATAACTAGGACAGCGAACGTTCGTTAAAAATAAATGTTTAAAGAAAATTAGATAAAAGGTACCTTGGGAGAGACATGTCTCCAACAGTGGACGTCATACATTCAAAAAATAATAATTGAGAATGCAAAAACCTTAAGTACCTACGCATGCGCCATTAAAATAAATGCATTGCGCTTAATGCGCTTTTTCGTGAAAGTAAGATTCGAAAAGCGTGATTCAAAGATTTTTAAGGATAACTAATAATCATTCAGGCGTGAATATCCGGATCTGCTACAGCTGCCGGTAGTGAAACGTATTGCAGAGGCACACGATCGCACCCCTGCACAGGTGCTACTCCGATACACGGTGCAACGTGGATTGGCTGCCATACCAAAGAGCACTAATCCTACTCGTATTAAACAGGTACCAGACCTTTTTTGTATTTGTATCTGCGATCAGCCCTAAAAGATACCAATTAGGTATAACAGATACCAACTAGGTATCGAATGAAATGGCCATCTCCATTAAACTCAATTTAATTTTGAATCAACTACCTAGTCAGGTCATAAATTCTGTCACATGTTTAATGTAAAATAATTGAAACAAGTTTATTCGTTATGTAACCGTTCATATACCAAAATGAACTTAACAAAACATAGATTCTTATGACACTAAAGTTTATTCAAAATGACCTCCGTGGTTTTGAATACAGGCCTTCAATCTGCGCGGCCAGTCGTCTATCGCAGCACGAACGAGGTCCATGTCAATATCGGCGGCTGCCTTAATCAAGGATGTCTTGAGTGACTCCAAATTGGGATGAGGCTTTGAGCACGCCTTTTCCTCCAAGTGTTGCCATATCTTGTAATCTAACGGATTCAAATCTGGACTGGAGGAGGGCCAGTCTTCGTGCCGGATGAAGTCGATTTCACCCGCCGCCAGCCAGTCTTGTGTGCTCTTCGCTCTATGAGC